GTTAGGCGATGATGATGATGATAATGATGAAGACGATGATGATAATGATGATGACGATGATGATGATGATGATGGTGATGGCCAAAAAAAATCAATTCAATCAATGTCAGCTAATGAAATCACCAAAGAAATTAAATAATCCGATTTGCCATCATACACTAAGCCAACAACAATTCTAAAGCAAATATTTAATGAGATGAAGAGCGAGAGAAAGAAGGAGTAAGAGAGAGAGAAACAGAAGAAAGAGAGAGAGAGAGAGAAACAGAAGGAAGTAAAGTAATAACAGCAGAAGAGATAAAAACTAAAAATTTTGTATTGAAAGGTCAAAAATTAAAAAATTTAAGTAAGAGAGAGAGAGAGAGAAAAAAAAACCAAAAAAACTGAAAAGTGAGAAAGAAAGAGAGAGGGGGGGAGAAAGAGAAAGAAACTGAAAACAATGAAAGAAATAGAAGGAATTTAAAAACGAAGTGAAAATAGAATGTTGGAAAGACTGGTGAGTAGATAAAGAGACAGAAAAAAAAGAGAGAGAGAGAGAGGGAGAAAGAGAAAAAGAGAAAAAAAGAAAAAGAGATATTGGGAGAGAGAGAGGGAGAAAAAAAGGAGAAATTTGAAAATGAAAAAAAACAAAAATAACCCAAAGGTCATCTGTCTTGGTGAAATTGATGCCCACGTCATCTTCATCACCACCACCACCACCATCATCATTATCAATAATAATAATAATAATAATAATAATAATAATGATAGTAAAATCAAAAACTGAAAATTATCCATAAATAATGAACGTGCTGAGGGGAAAGATTTCTTCCGGAGTGATGGATGGATGGATGAATGAATGAATGAACGAACGAACAAATGAATGAATGATAAGTGATTGTGTGAATGAATGAATGAGTGAGTTAATTGATTAATTAATTTGATTGAATGAATGAAAAGAATGCTTGAAAAAGCAAATGGATCTTTGAATAAACCAATGAACAAACAAGCAGTGAATAAACGAATGAAACTTTGACTGAATGAAAGAATGAACAAATTAATGAATGAACGTGCGAACAAATGGACAAATAAGTGAACCAGTGAATGAACGGAAGAACAAACGAACGAGTGAATGGATGATGAAATGAAATCGGATAAATAAATTTTTTTCCAAGGTGTCAGAGGTGTTTAGAATGTGCGTAAAATATGTTATTAATTTTCCATTTACACACACACACGCACACACAAACACTCACACACAAACATACATACATACAAACATACAAACAAACATACATACATACAAATGTGACATACATGTGTCTCTTTGATTGATCGCTAGCAAATAGTGCAAAGGGTTTTGTTTCAACATAATCATCGTTGTTGATGTTGTTGTTGTTGTTGATGTTGTTGTTGATGTTGTTGTTGAGAACGTTGTTGCTGTTGTTGTTGATGATGATAATGATGATAAAGTTGACCATATTTTTTTTCGGTTTTTGCGACTGTAGTATTATAAAAACATTTAACATGTATTTTCATTTCATTTTCATTTTATGTATTTGTTTGTTCATTCATTTATTCATCCTTCTCGTTCATTCCTTCCTTCATTTATTTATCCCATCATTCATTCATTCATTCATTCATTCATTCATTCATTCATTCATTCATTCATTCATTCATTCACTCACTCACTCATTCATTCATTCATTCATTCATTCATTCATTCATTCATTCACTCACTCACTCACTCATTCATTCATTCATTCATTCATTCATTCATTCATTCATTCATTCATTCATTCATTCATTCATTCATTCATTCATTCACTCACTCACTCATTCATTCATTCATTCATTCATTCATTCATTCATTCATTCATTCACTCACTCACTCACTCATTCATTCATTCATTCATTCATTCATTCATTCATTCATTCACTCATTCATTCATTCACTCATTCATAAACGCTAAATATATAGGGATGCTATGACAAAATTCGCGAGATGACAGATTCGTACCAAACTTCCTTTGTAGTCGTCGTTTTCGTCACCATCTTACTCCAGGTTCAGTTTCGCTTCCGGAAGAACTTTTATCATTTTTTTTTATAATAATTTCATCAAAAAACCAATTCAGCCAACCAATTCGGCCAACCAAATCAGCCAACCAATCAACAAACCAACCAACCAATCAATCAATTAACTAATCAACCAACCAATCAACAAACCAACCAACCAATCAATTAACCAATCAACCAATCAATTAACCAACCAATCAATTAACCAACCAATCAGCTTCTCAGCATGATGACGTCATTCTGGCTGATCGACACACTGAAGACCAAACTCGTCAGTGTGACATCATACTTCGGAGAGTACAACGACGAAGAAACTTAAATTACAACTTGACTGACAATCTTTACCAGTAGTAATAATTACATTTACTTGTAGCAGACACATACACACACACGCACACGCACGCACACGCACACTCACGCACACAACACAAACACAAGACACGAACGAGTATAAATGTTTATAAATGTCGTTTAAATGTTACTCTATTTATTTATTTGGCAATTTCATTAAATGCAATTTCGATATTAATAAACTATAAATAATAATAACAATTATTATTATATATTTCACCTATTCGGGTTTTTTGATTCCAATTCAAATTGTTACGTCATTAAGATAAAAAGATACAAGATAAGTTAAAAAAAGAGAAGATTATAAATCGATGTGATTTTTTTATATATTCGATTTTTGTAGCGCTGAACAAATACGTGATAATTTTTAGACATAAAATAAAATAAATTATTTTTCTTTCTGACATTTATATACCTACTATTTTTTGATCATATTCATTTTTTCAATTTCAATAATTATTATTATTATGAATTATTTAATTATAATTATTATTACGTTTTTTATTCAATTATTATTGTTAATATTTTGATTCTTGAGAATTTAAATGTTTAGAAACATCGAAGTTAACAATGAATAAACGAATTTATGAATAATTATAGTTATTGCGAAACAATTTTATATCGAATGTTCATAAACCAAAAATAAAATTTTTGGTTTAACAAGATAAATTGATAGAATGGTTAAGTGAATGAATGAATGAATAAATGAATGGATTTTTAGACTATCATGTTTTTGTGAAAGTAAAACCAAACAAGCGTAACTTTTCATTTTGCTTTTGAACGTTGTATTTCATACCGTCATTAAATGGTAGGAAAAAGCAGAAAACGAATGCACAGCGCTAGGGAAAACTACCGAATTTCAATAAAAAAATTTCAGTTTCCAACTCCATAATTTCAATTTCAAACATCGCCAAATAACTTTAGAAACGGATCCATTCCGAAACTGTTTCGAAATCACAACGAAACGACTTGTTCCAAACGAGACGAAATCGATCCCTACACCCTATAAGACCTTTGATACAAATTTGCAAACGTAATAAAACCAAAAGGTTCCGAATCAGTTCATAGAATAAAATGATTTTATTCACCAAAACAACACCATTATTCGAGATGCCATCATCACCATCATTATCATCGTCTTCACTCTCACTCTTATAAACACCAATCAATTAAGCAAAAAACTAAATCCTATTGTAAAATGTTTATTAATTAACCAATTAATTAACTAATTTACTAATAAAAAGATTAATTATTTTTAATGCAACTCCAGTTAAAATCCTCTTCAGTAATATTCGATCTGCTTGTGCTTCGCGGCATATTCCTTCATTCTGCCCTCTATCTCTGGTCTGTAGTGTCTTATCAGGCCCTATTTGGTCATGATCATCATCATCGTCATCATCATCATCACCATCATCATCATCATCACCATCATCGTCACTATTATCATCATCGTCACCATCGTCATCATCATCAGGACCTGTATCGGCCAGGCGGCTCCATCGGCCAGGGCACAGATCGTATGCCCTTCAATCTGCTTGCTCATCTCGTACAGCATGTCGATCTCTTCCGGGCGGGCTTTTCCCAGCACTGAATTTAGAAAATTGGGTCAGTTCATGCTTTCGTCGGTTGGATCGGTTTGTTAGGTTAATTAATTAGGTCGATCTATTTAACTAGGCCGTCTCGTTTAAGTCGCGGATTAGTAGTGGTTCATCAACTGGTAATGTCGCTTACTCAATTGGGTCAGTTCGTTGGATCAATTTATAATTAGACCGGATCAGTTAATTCAGTCAGTTCATCAGTTAGTCAAGTCGGTTAGGTTTATTAAACTAGGTCAGTCAATTGGACCGGTTCGTTAGTTAATTGGGTCAGTATGATGAACTGAATCGGATAATTGGGTCAGTTCATCAGCTGGCAGACCGTTCAATGCGACCGAATGGGTCGAAAAATTGGGTCAACTAATTGGGTCAGTGAATTAATTATGTTAATTAATTACCGAATCTGTCCATCACTTTGCTCATCCAGTTGCATCCCTCCCGGCATGGAGTGCACTGCGGATAGTGAGAAATAAATAACAATTTTTACAACACACACACCGACACACACACACACACTGACACACACACTGACACACACACTAACACACATACAAACAAACAGACAGACAAACAGACAGACAAGCAGACAGACAAACAGACAGACAGACAGAGAGACAGACAGACAGACCTGTCCGCAACTTTCGTGTTTGTAGAAGTGTGCCAGTCTGGCAATACACTTGATGACGTCATTCCTCTTGTCCATGACGATGATGGCTGCCGTGCCGAAGGCAGAGTGGTTGGCCGTTAGGTCATCGAAGTCCATGAGGACTGTTTCACAGACTCTGATGGTGATGATGATGGTGGTGATGGGGTGATGATGATGGTGGTGATGATGGTGATGATGGTGATGATGATGGTG